ACTCCAAAGGTTAGAGATGTCCACGGCTCTCCCTGGTTTCCATTAATTACATGCCATGGATCTATCATTTATGGCTCTATCTAAATCATATTAAGCTCATATAAATTAATGGGTTGTGAAATATTTTGGTTATGATTCAATGTATAAAGTTTTGATTTATTCTAAAATTACCTCTTTAAGATTTTGAAAGCTGTGTTATTTGTTTGTAAATTTTCCTCCTTACTCCCCCTGTTCAGGCTTTTTACTTTTTGATCCTTTGACTGTATAGATTTGAGCCCATTCTCCCATTAACTTTTGTGAAAATTTTATTCTTGTGGCTGATTCTGAGCGAGAGACCACATTTACCAACTGCATTAAGTCAATCTGTGTGGTTTCTGTGATGAAGCATTTGCTAGGCTGTGAATTACAGCCTATAGATAATATTATCCTTTTTGCGGTGACTAAATATGGTGTTTTAGTCCAAGAGCATTGTTGACCATTAGCAGATTAAGATAGATTGGCAGAACTCATGAATAGGTTATATATATATTTTTTGTTTGTAAGGTTCCTCTCTCCCTTGAAACTCTGTCAACATTTATAGCCATCCTTGCTGGTAGGTATCATAATGAGGCTTGTTTGTGAGATTTTGTTGACAGAACAAGGGATCCAAGAATAGGTAAATCCTGCTATAAACCAAGGCCACCTGTCCTTAGAAATTTGCCAGGGCAGAAAATACATGAAAGGTATACTGCCCAATGATCAGGCAAGCTGGATTTAGCCTAGGCCAGGCCTCAGGAAAATTTCTCCCTTACTCCCAAGACCAAATTTTACCACCAGTTAGTTGTGTGGCAAGAAAAGTGGCCAGAATATTCAGGAGTAGGCCCTGGGTTTGTGCTTCAACCTCATGGCTCATAAAGAAAGAAGACACACAAAATGATGTATGTATCCCTTTAAGACACAGTGACCCTGCCCATTAGCAAGCATGGCCCAACCCCTGTTCTAGAATTATAGAGGAGCTAGAGAGTAGTGGGGTTGGGGCTGGAGGGGTTTTCTTCTAACCCCACCCATAAGAAGTATTCCAGTCATAATTCAGCCATTGTACAGCACATTATAATTTGTGACTTCATGTGCATTATCTTTTTAAAACCCTCACCCTCTGAGGTATATGAACATTATCATCATTTTACAGATGAGGAAACTGAAGGTCAAAGCAATTATATGTCTTGCCCATGAATTATGCAGTTTGTAAGTGGTGGGTGGACTTCTCTTATATCGTGACCACTCAGTATTATAGCGGGGATAGATAGCTACTGAGCATCTAATTTTATTTTCCTTTCCAATAAGATAACAGTACAGCTGAGGAAGTCATTTATAATTACTCTAAGGAGAGCTTGGCATTCTAATAGAGCAATTTGAAGTTCTGAAAATTTTTTTATATTCCCATTATATATTCCTGGAGGGTACACATAAAAAATGTGCAAAATTATTATATAGGTATATAGTTTCCAAAGCCTGATGATTACCATTTCTAAATCTTGGTTTCCTTCAAATTCCATTAACCATTCAAAGACTGCATTGAGCTTCAGCCATCCAGACTCAGGCTGCTGGAAACCTTGATAAAGACACTCAGCATTTACATGTAAATAGCTGAGCAAATAAACAAATGTGCCATTCTCATAGACTTTGTGGAAGCATTGACTTCATCAGTATGGTTTGAACAACATCAGATGGAAATACTTTCATTGGGAGGATGGGTAATACATTTCAGACATCTTTTGTATTTTTTATATATATTTCATTTTGAAATATTTTTTATTCGTTAATTGCTGCATTTTACCACCTCAAATATGCATTCTGTCACATATATTTGGTTTAATAAACTTAAAATGAAAAACATGAGTGAAACAATGTAAGAAATAAAAGACAAATTTTTAAGGAAGTACTCAGATTGTAATAATCTGGGATTTTTTTTTTTCTTAAAGTGCCTCTATTAGGACAGGTAATTTTACCATTGAGAGGGCTAAATTAATGAAGAATATATTATAGAATTTTTAGAGTTTATTTGAAAAGTTGCTTTTTTCATCTTCTCTTTGGAATTTTCACTGAATTGGACTTGTGTTTTATTTTTTATTAAGTGATATTATTACATCAATTTCCAAGACAGTTTTTTTAAGTTGTAACTTATTTTTAAATCCTATTAGAGTTAATTTTTCAAAATTTTTAAAATCTTAATTGCTTGTTATATTGTAGATGCTTTCTTGTTTTAAATGTTTTTCTGTTGGCCAGTTGTGGATATTGTGTTTTAGTTTATTGAACCATAGAGCTCTGACATTTACTAACAGGAGTAAGACGGTTTTTCTTTTCTTTCCTATTAAGACCATAAACATTTAGTTAACTTAACCATATCTTAACTTTTTTTCCTGTTTTTTAATGTTTTCTTTCTACTAACAAGTCTTTAAATTAAAAATAACAGTCAATTTAAAAAGAACTGGTTGATTTAAAAAGTTCACCTGTATGTAAAAAATATTAACAGTATTAAAGTAGTGTCTTATTTTTTGGAGGGCAAGGAGGGTGCCTTTAACTGAGTAATGCTAGTTTCAGTGTAATGCCTTTAAGAGATTTTTCACGAGACTGTCATGAGCTGGAGTTCAGGCTTTGGCAGAAATAATGGTTTTTCAGTGCTGTGTTATAGGTAGGCTTGGAGGCTTCTTCTGTGAGTCTGGCTCTGAAATTATGGGGTTAGAATCTGTCATTTTATTCTGAGATTCTCTTGTTTATTTTACTGTTATAATGACAATGAAAATATTCTTTTTTAATAAAAGATAGAAATACTATAATTGAAAATGCAGGATGCAGATTAGGCAGTCTTCGGTAATAAGCTTTATTTCTTTTCCTTTTTTAGTTTCTAGAATTCTAGTTGCTCAAGGTGTTATCATAAGATGGGCCATGACTCTGTAATTTCTGGCTGTGATATGGCATTGCTGTTAAATCCACTAGGTTTTTTTTGTTTTTTTATTTTGCTATTCAACTATATTTTTCATGTTGTAAATTTTCTAGGTTGATAAATTCAGGGGAAGATTTCCCTTGAAGACAGTGAATCTTAACTCAGGGGCCCTCCCTTGAGTGGGTGTTTTCCAAAACTCTGTACCTAATTTTGTTTTATAATTTTGTATTATTTTCTTTAAAGAGGGTCCCTAAGATTGTATAAGCTTTAGGCCCTACCTCACTTGGATTAGCCTCTGGCCGATACGCAAACTCATTGAAACTGGAAGAAAAGCAAAAACAAAGATAGACTTGAACCTTCAGAAACTTAGTCAAGGTATCTGGCAGGTGCCACATATTCTTGTCTGGTGGAAGATAGGTTCTGGACAATTATGCTAACTAGTAGAACTCTGTATCTAAAACCAGATGCACAACTGATGATTGTGGAAGCATCACAAGTAAAGTTTTAGAGGCTTATAGTCCTTGACTGGTTCAGTTGTGTAGATAATCGCACTTTTGGTGAGGTTCTCTTAGAAAAACAGATAATTTCAAACATTGGGAAATTTTTGTGGCATGTAAAATCTCACTCTTTAACCTATGTTTTGTATGTTCCCTCACCCATGGCAATAGTGTATATCTTCTTCAATTTATCACCATCATTTTTCTCCTGTTAACAATACCTGCACCTGTCTTGAGAAAAATCCTTATAACTGACGAGAATGTTGTTGTATTATATGTGTAACATGGACTCTTCACATATCCTTGTGTGTGAGAAAATAAAAAAGACCATGCAAACTGAAACCGTGCAATACGATCTTAAAACTCAGTGGAAAAATTTGTGATTATTCTGTGACTTTACCCAGGTCTGTCAAAACATTAAAAACTCTCTTACTCTTGGTTACAAATGCAGGGAAATGCAAATAATAGTAAAACTCATATTTAGCACACTGTGATTTAGAACTTAAGAAACATTGAGAATTAAAGCATTTCATTTCTTTTTAAGAAAACTGTCATGAGTCACTTGAATTATACTGCCTTCTCCTAATATAGCATGACATGAAGAGAGCATTTTTTTCTCTTAGTAAATGCTCATACTCCTTCATAAATCTGCATCAACCACAACTATTTTATTCCTGTACTCTCACGATTGTGAACTATCTCCTGTGGTTTTTTTAATGTGAAATTTTTTTTACTGACGTCACTTCCTCTGGGAAAACTTGATCCTCTTTGTCACAATCACTTTCCTGATTTATGTTGATAAGTTCACCCTCCCTAAGTTCTTCTGGCTGCACATCTAGAGTCTCTCAAATGACAACAGTGTCAACATGCCATAGTCTTGTGTTTCATCTATACCTTCATTTATGTTCAGTATGAATGTCCCCTTCCAGCATTATCATTTCTCTTTTCTTTGCTAGACTTTAATCTTTGATGGCTAATTCCTGCTTTCAATGATCTGTTTTTGTAAAATGTCACATGGGTTTATTGCTGAGAGCCAAGGAGGCAACACAACTACATGCTTTGAGTCTGGGCATGAACTGAATAACAGATGTACCGGGACCAAGACTGAGGGGCTTTGAAAGAAGTGATGTGATTGGTTACTGATTGTGATGTGTATCTGTTATTTACTAGTGATTTGTAGGCTGAGGAGCTAACAACACAGTTTATACTTTATGCAGTTATTTACAGCTAATATACTATGATAAATGAAATTTGAATTGTGCTGTTGGGAAACTGGTGTTATTTAACTAAACCATAGTTACTGAAATTCATGCCTATATGAACTATGTAAGTTGGTGATTCTCTCTCTCTTTCTCTCTTTATATATATATACATATGAACTAATTTCTAAACCTAGCTTTTAGCAAGAAGTTTAACAATCACAATTAAAACATTGTTTCAATAATTTAGTTTGTTTTGTGGGAGCAGTATTTAATTTTGTACCTAAATTTGAATACTCAATCAAAAGAGACAACTATGTGATTTTATATAGCATTTGAAAAGCAACACAAAACTGAAATGGATTGTTTGTTTTTTCCCAGTTTTATGTATGGAGAATTGACTGACAAGAAGACCATTGAGAAAGTCAGACAGACTTTTGACAACTACGATTCAAACTGCTTTGAAGTTCTTCTGTACAAGAAAAACAGTAAGTATCTAAATTACCAATAAGATGTGTCAACTCTGAATAATGTTATGTTTTGGTTAGTGGTGGTTTAGCTATAGTGTAAAGAGAATATCAAACTTTGTCCTTCTCTTGGTAAAGGCAGGGGGTGCTGATAAAATTAGATAGCAAAACTAATGAATGATTCTCCCTATGAAAAGCAACCTTTTGAGGAATGGCAGGAAAATATGGTGTATTTTAAATGTGATTTTGTATGTGTGTGTGAGGTTGCAAAATGTTTTGTAATTAATACTCATGGTGAAGATCCTACAGTTACGTGACAGCAACTAAAAATGATAGAGAAATTCATTCATTTCCTCTTGTGGTTAATGGAAAAGGTGATTGGTATCACTGAGTATGTGTGATTCCCTTTCTACATGTGCATGACTGACTTGTGTTATTGACTTGAGGTCTTTACCAATGTGGCCTTTTGCTAGGCTCTGACTCTTTTGTGTAGAAGGCTAACAGAAGTAGTTCCTACTTTCAGAATAGGCCATTCACATCTGGTAAATATGTATTGATTATGGTGAACTGTTCTCTAGGATGGAATTTGTGAGTGATCAGTTGTCCATTATATATCACATAAGACCTCATGATATGGACTCTCTTTCAGAATTTGCAGCCAAACAAAAACCAACTAATGTACTCCACAACCAGATTTCCTTTCTAATTTGTTTTCTTTGAATAGTGTGGTCACTGACTTCTATTTCTTTTTCTCAAGTTGACCTTTTTTTTTTTTAATTTTTTTTTTTTTAAATGAACAGTCATTTTACAAGATGGGTCAATTTATTTAGTGTTAATGATAAATGACAGCAAAGCCAATTATTATCATTTTTTAAAAGATTTATTTATTTATTTGACAGAGAGAGAGAAAGAAAGGGAGAGAGCATGAGTGGGAGGGGCAGAGGGAGAGGAATATCAAGTAGACTCCCCACTGAGCGGGGAACCCAATGTGGAGCTCGATCTCATGACCCTGAGATCATAACCTGAGCTGAAGTCAGGAGTCGGACACTCAACTGACTGCTCCACCCAGGCGTCCCAAAGCCAGTTATTCTCTTTAGTGGAAATTGATGGTTATTAAATTCTTCCCCAGTTTGGGAAGCATTTTAGCTTCAACAGGAAGCACTTCCTCCATGCTCAGAGCAGGCTGGATTTTTTACAGCATAATTCATCCTTTCCATCTTACTCAAACATTTATTCACTATAAAATATTTAGAATTGAACTTAGGTTTTTCTTTTTATTAATAGACCATCAAAGAGATAATCACAGCCACAGGCATTGCTTTAAAATTAGTGCACTTGGTAATGGGAATATTGGTCTTTAGTGGTTTTACCTATGGAATGTCTTATTATTTTATCTTTCATTTCAGAATCAAGGCCAAAGAGGTATTTCTCTTTATTCATAGCCAAATGTCTGTTGGCTTGTCACCTAGAAAACAATCCATTCTGAATGATCTGCTCTGGCCTCGACCGGAGAAAAGTCAAGCTTGAGGTGTCCTCTGGGTCTTTCTTACCAGGTCCAGATATATATTGATAAATTTGTAGTAGACTCCTATGTCAAAACCCTGTATCCTTTTCATATAGGGTTGTTCTCCTTTGAATGACTTAGATATGTGCCCTGAGTTTAGCAAATAATTTAAGGATATTCCCTATTACTAATGTCATTTCACTTTGACACTAAGAAGAATAAACAAATCTTTGCCTGATTTTAAAGCATGAGAACGAAGTTCATAGTGTCTTCCTTTCTTTTTTTTTTTTCTTTTTTATTCTTTTTAAAGATTTTATTTATTTATTTGAGAGAAAGAATGAGAGAGAGAGAGAGCATGAGAGGGGTTTGGGTCAGAGGGAGAAGCAGACTCCCTGCCGAGCAGGGAGCCCGATGCGGGACTCAATCCCGGGACTCCAGGATCATGACCTGAGCCGAAGGCAGTCGCTTAACCAACTGAGCCACCCAGGCACCCAGTGTCTGAGTTTCTTAAAAATACCTTTGTGGAGATTCTGTTTTCCTTATATCCTTTAAATCATGTTAACAAGAACTTGAATTTTATATTTCCAAAAGTTGCCTTCCAAGGTAGTATTTTGCTATATTTTAATGTTTTGAAATTCTCTTATTTGCATTGAGTTTTTTTCATTAATATGAGGGGTAGATATCATTTATGTATTTTAGTGGAGTTCTACTACACTGAAAGGAGCTTTAAAAAATCTTGTAAATTGTTACCTGAAGGTTCTTGAGCATCAACTAAGAAAAGTATGTTCTTGTAACTTTTTAAAAATGTTAGAAAAATTCACATGTCTGTAGATAAATATTTTGGGAATGCCTGAATGCCACGTCTTCCTAACACTTCCATTAAGTAATTAGGTTAAACAGCATTTTGCAAATGGGGGGATCTGATTTAACACATGTCATCATTGACATTTCAGTTTGTAGGTTCTATTTTTAAGGTGCGTTGCTCTGATTAGCGGGAACCGTTTCTACTGTTGGGAAGGAAACAGTAGCACTGGGGTGATGGTTTAAATGGGTCTTCCTTTCTGCACAAAGGCACACCTGTGATAGCCTGGGCCGCCCAGATAATCAATGCTAAGACACTGCCCTGAGTTTCCATCTACAACTGCCCTCTCTGCCTAACACTCTCAGACTTTCTGCTCCTTTGAACCCCCAGACCAGAGTATGGATATTTTACCAGCCACTCAGCAAATACTCCGTCTACTTGGGGAATCTGACCCTGTAAGTCAACTCTGATAGCTGAAAGCAGTTTTAAAAAAACAGTCCTGACTCTAGGCTAAAATTTGAAAAGTTGCTCTTTTCATAGAAGGTGCAAAATGTAACATCGTCTCTTTCTGTTCAGATTTTTCACAGACCTTGGAAAATGACTGATTTTTAATGCCCCTTTCTCTGTTTATGACCCTGCTGCCTCAAGCTCACTGTGTTGGAACAGCCATAGGCCACGTATCTGCTAGCATGTGTGTCTGGTGATTTGTAGAACTGCATATATCACTCACAGTTCTTGGGTACACTGTGTAGAAGAAGGAGCAGAAAACAAAGAACAAGCCTCTCTGCGAGATGGTGTGATGGTTTTTGAGATCCCTGTCTCACCCAGTGATCATTTTGGAAAGGGCCGTGTTTTCATAGGGCCCCAGGGTTGCAAAGGATCTGGTTGTCAGAACTGAATATTCTATAAACACCTCCTCTTTCTAATTCTCTGACTTCTTGAACCTGGTAGTTAAGCCATCTCTTCTTGTCTAGAGGACAAATTCCCCATTGTGGTGACATTACTCTGTGAGTTTTTTGGCCAAAGGTATGAAGGTTTTTCTAATTTGGTTTTTGTTGCACCACTAACAGACTATCAATTCTCACGTAGAGACTATTAATAGCTGCATATTTCACTCCCCAAATCCCAAACCTAACAAAAGCCTTTATGTCTTTAAGATAGAAAATTTGGAGAGGCTTTACTGCACGATGGCTTGGAAAGAATATAATGGAAAATGTGTCTTTTTGATTCTGATGGAACATTCCTTCAGTGTTTTATCATTTAATGGATAATTACTCCTTTGAAGGCATTTCTTGTGTCTTCAAATATTTATTGTTTGATATAATGCCAGTTCCTGGTTTGTCCAAATCCAAAGCCTTAAGTGCTCTGAAATTCTTTGTTTTCTGGAGTCTGCAGGAGCCATTGTTTAAAGAACTAGTGACAGCTCAGAGGATTGTAGGGGAAGGGAGGGAAAACTGAATGGGAGGTCATCAGAGAGGGAGAAAAACCATGAGAGACTCGACTATGGGAAGCAAACTGGGGGTTGCTGGAGGGGAGGTGGGCAGGGGGATGGGGTAATTGGGTGATGGGCATTAGGGAGGGCACGTGATGTGATGAGCACTGGGTGTTATACGCAACTGGTAAATTATTAAAAAATAAAGAATATTTGAACAACTGCAAAAAAAAAAAATAAAGAACATAGTGACAGAGTCAAGCCTCATCCTTTGAGTGAAGGAGATAGGAAGCAGTGGCTCATGAAGATACCTGAGAATCTCAAGGACTGGGGGCATGTCTTTTTTTTTCCCCCCTCAAGGTCGCCTTAAAAGCTTCAGGTAGAGCTCTGTGTACAGCAGACATCAAGTGTTGCTGACATCCTCTCTCTCTGATGTGGGGGTGCTGTCAAAGGCATAGAGCCATCTTATAACTCTGACTGACAAGAGAGCCTTGAGGTAGGAATAGCATTTCAAACGTTCTTCCAAGAGGAATGCTTATCAGAGCATCAGGGATTGCTGTTGAAGTCAATTGGAAACACTTCTCAAAGGGACAGGAAGAGAGAAGCATGTAGGAGTGGTCACACATGGTGAAAGTATGAAAAGGAAGTTGGAGAGAGCGGCGGAGGTGCAGGGACCCAGACCTAACAGTAATGCAGGTGTTACTGTAGTGACACAGCCTTTGTGCCCCTGCGTGGTACAATGTCACCCTCACCTTTACTTTCACATTTTGATATTTTGGGTTGAAAAATGTTTATTCATATTTGAGCAATTGGTAATTGATACAAAGTTAAAGTTTTTTTTTTTAATTCTGAAAGCAATTAAAATACTGTTGTTTTGGTGCTCGTTCCTGGCACAGCAGTCGGCAGCTTAAGAAAGAGGCAAGGCAGGAGACCACATCATTGCTGCGGCTATGTCACACGCTGTTGCCCTTTCTGTCTCTTACAGGAACCCCTGTTTGGTTTTATATGCAAATTGCACCAATAAGAAACGAACATGAAAAGGTGGTCTTGTTCCTATGTACTTTCAAGGATATTACATTGTTCAAACAGCCAATAGAGGATGATTCAACAAAAGGTAATTTTCTCTTTCTTTTTTTTTTTTTGAGAGAGAGAGAGTGGGGGGGAGGGACAGAGGGGGAGAGAGAGAATTCTAAGCAGGCTCCCTGCCCAGCGTGGAGCCGATGCAGGGCTTGATCTCACGACCCTGACATCACGACCTGAGCTGAAATCAAGAGTTGGTCACTTTAACTGACTGAGCCACCCAGGCACCCCAACAAAAGGTAATTTTCAAAGGAATGGCCACACTTAAGAATTAGGCTGTCAATTAAATATATTATTATTTAAAAAATACAGAGGTTGAACTGGAACACAAAATTTTACTATTTGGTACTTCTTTTGCTTTACATTCATGCTAGTAATTATCCACAACCAGTTTTATTCAATCATACCGTTTGAATGGAAATAGCATGGCTATCCAAAGTAGAAATAATAGTTGGTTAACTTAAATTATAATAAGAGGAATTGAGATAAGACATAAGGAAGACATCATAGAGCATTATTAATTTAGAGTCAATATAATGGGAGTTTTGACAACCTCTTCCAGGATGAACTTTAGAAACACAAAATAAACAGCCTGTGAGATGGTTTGGGTGAAGTCCTTTTTTTACAGCACAGTCGATCAATTGATTGAATTTTGTTGAATTGATTAGAGATTGGTTAGTGACTTTTTTCACATTACTTTTCACCCTTTACTTATTCAGCTTTTGTAGATTCTCTTGGGTAGATGCTGTTAGATTATGTGAAGAATAATTTTGTTATCAAGAGAGTAGCTGGCATAATGCAAACATCCTGACTACAGTCTTACTGACTTTAATATTCAGGAAGAGAGTTATAGAAATCAGTGGTCAGTGGTATGTGCTTTTATCCTGTTTTCTATGTAATTTACTCTCATTTCATTCTCTCCAATTACGTTTAAATTAAAAACTGGTATCTGATAGATGAAGAATTTCAAATACTCTTAGAAGTTTTATGACATGTTATTTTTAATAATCTCTTAGGAGACTAAAAATGTAATCTTCCTCTTTGCATTTGGCATTGCCTTTTCTTACCTCTTTAAAAAAACTGGCACGAAAGTTTAATTTTTCCAACTGTAATCATAATTATAGAAAAATTTTATAGGTTTATTCCTTGCATATGAATTCACATATATTATACTTGGTCAGTTTTTGGTTAACATCAAATTATAAGAGGAAAATTTTATAATGTGTAAACCATTTAAAGTATAACATGGAACAATTTATTTGTGAATGTTTCTGAAAATGTGTGTATTAAATCATCTCCTAGAAGATCGAATATTCACTTTTGGACTTACTTTACCTGTTCTTCTACCTTTACTCATAGTCCCAGTGTCTAGAAGGTTTAGGATGAATTTAAATACTGTTTTTAAAAATAGAATAGTTTTTCTAATAGTATTAGGTTTAATGCTTGTTTGTTTGTTTTAAAATTCAAAGTGCCCCATCCAATGGCAACAGAATTTGTGTTCTCAAGCTTACGTGGAACATTCACTAGATAGATCACATTCTGGCCATAAAACACACCTTGGCGAATTTAAGAGAATAGAAATCTTAAAAGGCATGTCCTTAGACCACAATGGAATTAAACTAGGAATCAATAACAGAAAGATAGCTAAGGAATCTCCAAATACTTAGAAATTAACACATTTCTAAATAACCCATGGGCCAAAGAAGAAGCCTGAAGATAAATTAGAAAAATATTTTGAGTAACTGAAAATGAAATTACAAATTATCAAATTAATGGGATATAGCAAAAGTAGTGGTTAGAGCAAAATGTATGTCACATTAAAGGCATTTATGAGAAAAGAAGAAAGATACAAAATTAAAACCCTAAGCTTCTACCTTAGGGAGACAAAGAAGAGCAATTTAAGTGAAAGCAAGCTGAAGACAAGAAATAAGAAACTTTAGAGCAGAAATCAATGAACTAGAAAATAGGAAAACATTAGAGAAAATCACCACAACTCAAAGCTGATTCTTTAAAAAGATCATCAAAGTTAATAAACCTCTAGCCAGGCTAACCAAGAACAAAGGGAGAAGAAGCAGATTACCAATATTAGAAGTTAAAGAAGGACCATCACAACTCATCTCAAGGACATTAGAGCATATAGAGGAATACTTTGATCAACTCTATAACCACTGAATTGATAATTTAGGGGAAACGGACCATTTCTTTGAAAAGCAAACTGCCAGAACTCACACTAGGAGAAATAGATAACCTAAATCATCTTATATCTATTAAAAATTAATAATTAATAAACTTCCAAAACAAAGAAACACCATGTATGATGTTTCCGTTTTTCATTTTTGGCAAATCTACAATCTTTTCCAAAAATAGAAGCAGAGAGAACTCTCCTCACTTGTTCTATGAGACCAGCACTACCCTCATACCAAAACCAGAAAAAAACATTACTAGAAAAGAACACTATAGACCAATATTTCTCATGAATATTCATATAAAAATACTCAACAAAAATTGAATCTACATGACAACCAAGTGGGATCTATTCCACATATGCAAAGTGGGTTCAACATGAAAAAAATCAATCACTGTAATCTACTATTTCAACAGGCTAAAAAAAGAAAGATCATATTTCATTTGACATAGAACAAGGATTTGACAAAATCCAGCACCCATTCATGGTAAAAACTCTTAGCAAAGTAGGAATGGAGAGGAACTTCCTCAACTTGATAAGGAACATCTATGAAAAACCTCCAGTTAACAGCTGACTATATCTTAAAATAATATGTTTTTAAATAAAAGATAAGTAATTTTTATATGATTTGTGCCCTAACATTCTTCGGATGAATTTCTCTTGCTTTCATACTGAATGACAGTAATACTGAGTAAAAAGCTTTCGTGTGACATTATTTTCCCTTAAATAATATTTATATTTATATTTGATGAATATTATTTTCTCTCTCTTTAAGTGATTTCATGACATTGCTGAAGTTAGGGAGAGTACCTACAGTACATTCTCAGTTTTGATATGCTAAACATTGATGGTGTCAGTATATGTAGTCTATTTATGGAAACTAAAAATTGACAGCATTTTATAGTGAGATTGGGGAAAAGGTGCTAATATTGAGCATTGACTTTTATTTCTCAAGTTAATGCCCTTCCATTTATCTGCCTACTCCTCCATCCCTGTATCCTTACATCAGAATCTCAGAGTTCTTCATCAGGCAAAATCTTTTAAATGCATAACTCATTCTTACAAAAAAAGTGGCATTTGAATAAACTCCAAACAACTCAGACCATTTGATTTTGAACTATGTGCTTGATAGGCATGTAAATTAGAATTTACAGGGAAAATCAGACCCCATTGTGAAAATCATTAGAGAAGACTATCTCTTTCCAGTGCCAGAATTTGTAGGGGAAGAGCTTATTTTAAACAGACTTTTATTTTTAGACTTTTCCACACCTTTCAAATACGTAACAGATCACTGAAAAAAGTATTGCACAATGTAACTACGAATGCTGTTATATGAGCTACTTTCTATTGTTCAAATGAGCTGTAAAATTAATATGAAAAATTCAATAGAAATAAAATATTTATGACATTAAGTAATCATCCTACTATCTCTATGAAGGTAGAAGTATAGCAAAGTGTGTTTGGAAATCGTGGCAGAAAAAATATGTCTCTCAAATTCTTAAGTTGAATAAAGGGGACTGTGGAACTTTTGGAGAAAGAGCAGAGGAGATTTTGTGATAACACCATAATATCAAAATGATTTGGGTCTAGAACAATGAACTGGGAGATGGTAGATTTACTTTTAATTTAACCTTGGGCACCAGAGTTACTTAACATGAGCCTTCTTTTTTTTTTTTTTTTTTTTTTTTTTTTTAACATGAGCCTTCTTATGACTCTTATAGGAAAGTTTTGTTCCCCTTGTTTATCTATTTTACTGATTTTTTTTTCATCAACCAAAAATGCTGATTAGGTATACAGAATGGTGCAGGCACCATTCTAGGTCCTGGAGATAACACAGTTCCTTCCCATCCTAATGGGGGGAGGGGAGACAAACAAGTAAATATATATTGGAAGTTTTCTTCCGATTGCTCTTCTCAGTAATATAAAAAACATGGTTATCACCTGAGAGTAAGGATGGTGAAGGAGATGAAGAAGTATTGAAGGTATGGTGAGAGAGAAGTAGGTATGAAATGGTAATCTAAGAGGGTGGAGAAGTGAGAGGGCAAAGGGAATTTGGTAGGTTTGCTGAACACTAAGGTCTGCTTGGGACTAGTGATCATGAGTTCCACTAGCATCCATGAGTATGATTATTGTTTTACTCTATCCATGTTTAGTCAAAGGTGTATAGATGAAGAAGTAATGAAGAGTTGAATTTAACCAGAGTTGGGATTTGGTAAGGTGAGTGAATGGAAAAGAATCAGGGCAAAGGATCAGGGAGTTGAGGCTGTTGCAAAGGAGGAGATGGAGGGTGTTTGTAAAATTTGAAGAAATACTTAGGTAATAGAGTTCTACCTAGGACATAGGAAATAGTATTTTAAGATACAGAATAGACAAGTGAATCCATACCTTCGCAGGCCAGAATGGTACTTTTAATCCCAGAGCAAGGGTATTTTTACCTTCCCCTCCCCCTCTCCCTCCTCTTCTTCCTCCTCCTCTTCTTCTTTCTTCTTTCTTCTTCTTCTTCTTCTTCTTCATCTTCTTCTTCTTCATCTTCTTCTTCTTCTTCTTCTTTTTCTTCAATTCTTCTTCGAGTTAGAAGACAATAAATTTGATAAAGGGCATCTACACAAAAGGATATCTACACAAATATCATACTTAATGGTTGAAACATTGAAAGGTTTCCCTTTGAGATTATTAACAAGTAAACAATGCCCCCATAGCCACTGCTATTCAGCACTTTACATTTGACTTTCTTAATGTGAAAAGGGGCCAGTGATTAGAGCAAAGGCCTAAGTCCTTTGAGGATTTGCCAAGGTTGGAATTGACATCAATTTCCTACTTGCTTTGGTATTTTTACCAAGAAACTCAGA